CCCCCCCCCCCCCCCCCCCCCGAGCTTCATACCTGCTTGCTCTGTAAACGTAGTGTTTAGGTTTCTGCTGTGAAGAGAATTCACCGGTGATTTCTGCAGATCAAGTTCCTCCAGTATGTGCAATCTAGGAAAACAAGTTTCAAAAGAAGCCTAATAAGATCATTTCCCTTAGCAGAGAGTCTTCTAAGCAGTGCCATGTTTAGATCCAGCCCAAAAGCTGGAAATCTGGGGCTTCCACCATCTGGAGGCCATAAATGGACTGTGGCAGAAATTGTAGCAACGATATGTTATAGGATTTAAAAGCTTCTCACACTATGGGCACAATGTTGTGGAGTGGTGCTCCAGACCAGTGTTTCTCAACCTTGGCAACTTTAAGATGTGTGGACTTCTGGCTGGGGAATTCTGGGAGTTGGTCCACACATCTTAAAGACGCCAAGGTTGAGAAACGCTGCTCCAGATAGTCATGCTTACCTTTGTCATTTTGCAGTGTTGTAGGGTCCAGAAATGTTGAGTTTTGGTAATACAGTAAGGGAGGAAAAGGAAGAGGAACGTGGAGATCAGACCTTGGGGGAGAAGAAAGGAGGCCCTGTACAGAGCACCTATCTGTGTGCAATTGGGAGAAAAGCAAAGGAAATATGTTCTTCCCTGAGGACATCACGCCCACAGATTTCTCCATCTTAGCAGGGCCAATAACAGACTTTTAGAACTGTTTAGGGATTGGGACACCCTCCCCCAACGTGGCATCCTCCAACGGATCGCAACTGCAACTCCCCAAATCCCTAGCAATCATGTCCATTGGCTGGGAAATCTGGGACCTGCAGTCCCAACGCATCTGAGGGCATCAGCTCAGGGAAGGTCTAGGATTTAAACCACTGGGGAGGAAAGTCCCTAGTAGTGAATAGGGCTTCAAAAACCTCTAGTTTAGTTGCAAATCCAGCAGTTAAAATATAAAACACTGACATGAAAAATCAGGTGAGTTAGAAAGGGTGTCTTTTCTGGTGGTATTCATAGTGCAACATCCCTTGTTTGGTGCAAAAGAGGAGGACCAAATGCATATGGTCCCCTCTGACTTAAAGCAGGCGGGATTGGTACCCATATTCCAGACCTGACGCTTGGAAAAATCTGAATGGGATGACCTCTAGTGGCTGCCTGCCGGAACACGCAGCCTGGCTCCATACATGCTTCTCTTTTGTCTTTTGCCTTGCAGATAACATGCATCACAATTACATCCATTTGAACGTCAACAGCCCCAAGCACCACACAGCCACTCTGGGTAAGTGTCGGGTGGCGTCCGATCCCTAGATAGCAACTGATGCAAACAGAAACCGTAAAAAGCGTTGGGAGAGTCCCATCAAATCTCTGGTTTATTACATACCTTTTCATACATTTATCATTATTTTACACCTACGGCTGTATTTGTATGTAAACGTGCATATATATGCCTATGCTACGTTTGAGCTGAAAAAATCCCTAAAGTGACATACAACATACACAGTCTTTTACAACCCCCTCCCCAACAGTGGATTTAGGATTCCTCAATTGTCTGCAATTTATTGGAAGAATAGAAAGTGCATACAACTATCCAACAATATGTTACCTTAAGGAGTGTTTATATCCTGGACTTATGGTCTCATATGCTGTTTTGTTTAAAAACCAGGCTTAAGTACCCCACTGGATCAAAAGGTGATTCTGGGGGAAAGCAGTTTAATCCTCTCCCCTTTGCGCTGGGGCTGGGTCATCAAAGAGAGTAGGCAGAGATGAATATGGATGCTGAGAAGAGGAGTCCGGTACAAACTGTGATGAAGAGAAGAATGACAAAATTGCAGCATCATGATGCAGACCTTGGCCTTTCTTACTTGTGTCCCAATGCCAGATGCAAGTATATAAACCAAGGGTTTATATGTTGTTTATATGTTGTTTATACGTTGTGACCATCATGATGCTTGTTTGTCTTGTCTCTTTCCATCCCCACGGGTACCTGTGAATTTGAAGCAGGAGCTTAAAGCAGTTAAGCAGTTTTGTAGGTTATCATCAAAAAAGTTTTGTAAAAAATTCCTTTAGTTGAGCTTAATTTCTGGAGATGACATGGACATGTCCATGTCGTTTAACATAGGCAGTGCCTGCTGGATGGCACCCCGGCCCATCTGGTCCAGCAGCTTGTTCTCACAGTGGCCGACCAATTGCACAAGGAAGCCCACTGGTCTCCCAGCAGATGGCCTTCAGAGGCAATCCCATTGCCATCAAGGCTAATAGCCATTGACCCCCATGGCTTTCATGAATTTGTCCAACCCTTTTTTTGAAGGCATCCAAGCTGGCAGCCACCACCACATCGTGTGGTAGCAAATTCCAAAGTCGAATTTATATTTTAAAAAATTCATTTTGTCTGTCCTAATTCTTCCAGGATTCAATTTCATTGGGTGGTCTCTGGTTCTAGTATTTTGGGAAGGGGAGAATAGCTTATCCTTGTCCAATTTATCCACACCATGGATAATCGTGTACACCTCAATCATGTCCCCTCTCATCTGCCTCCTTTCTAGACTAAAAAGCCCTAAATGTCACAACCTTTCCTCACAGGAAAGCTGCCCCAGCCCCTCGATCATCTCAGTTGCCCTCCACTGAACCTTCTCTAGCTCCACTATATCCTTTTGGGGAACCACATGGAAATGGTTTGGCTTCCCAGTCGAATCTGTAGCCCTGGGATGTTCTGGTGGTCTCCACTCCGTTCCAGGTGCTACTTCAGTCTGACCCTCTTTAGCTTTTTTGAGGTCAGGCGAGATCAGCTAGGTATTGGTCACTGCAAAAGCATCCTTGAGCAACACATATAGCGAATTGCATAGAAAAGGAAAAGGAGGTGCCCGCCTATATATATAGCTGATGCTATATTACAATATTGTAATTGGAGGACCTTCTCTTGCGTTCTAAGCAGAAATTGGCATTTTCTACTTTACTAATTTTTTTGATGTACAGAACTTACTCTCTACCCACCCAAATTATCCTTGAATAAAACCATGCATTTCATTCTTCTGTCACACTGAAAAGGTTCCTTTTTCTTCTAAAGGCACAGTATGATCCAGCTGTGTGGATGAATGTTAATACAAATTTATCTTTAAGCATAGACTAGATGTAATAAAAGTCAACTTGAAAAATGCTGCAGAGTCATGAGCAGTATTTTCATTACTAAATAATTTT